CCCCCCGCTGTCCCCTGTGTCCCCCCGGTGTCCGCCCGCTGTGCCCCGTGTCCCCACTGTCCCCGGTGTCACCCCCCCGTGTCCCCCCGGTGATCCCCCTGTGTCCCCCCGGTGTCCCCCCGGTGTCCCTGGTCTGTCCCCCCGCTGTCCCCGGTGTCCCCGGTGTCCCCGCTCACCTCGTGCACCTCGTTCCAGCGGGGGCAGAGGCAGCCGGGGATGACGCCGCTTGTCGCCGCCTGTGTCCCCACCCGGAGCAGCGCGTAGGGGTCCGAGCGCCCCTCCAGGAGCCCCCCCAGGAACCGATCCTTGCAGCGCAGGGAGCGCGCACCGAGCAGGTGAACGCGCAGCACGCCCTGGGGACACCGCGGGGTCAGCGGGGACACCCCCGGGAGGGGACACCGGCACCGGGGGGGGACACCGGGACAGGGAGGGGACACCGGCACCGGGAGGGGACACCCGGACCGGGAGGGGACACCGGGACCGGGGGGGGACACCGGGACAGTGAGGGGACACCGGGACCGGGAGGGGTCAGAGGGAAGGGGACACCGGGACCGGGAGGGGACACCGGGACCGGGAAGGGACACCGGCACCAGGGGGGGACACCGGGACAGGGAGGGGACACCGGACCTGGGACCCGCCAGACCGGGAGAGGACACCGGGACCGGGAGGGGACACCGGGACCGGGAGGGGTCAGAGGGAAGGGGACACCGGGACCGGGAGCGGACACCCCCGGGAGGGGACACCGGGACCGGAAGGGGTCAGAGGGGAAGGGACACCGGGACCGGGATCACCCCAGACCGGGAGGAGACACCGGGGGGGGTCAGAGGGGAGGGGACACACCCAGGAGGGGACACCGGGACCGGGAGGGGACATCGGCCCCGGGATCCCCCACCCCAGCCGGGGAGGGGACACCGGGACCGGGAGGGGACACCGGGACCGGGAAGGGACACGGCCCCGGGACCCCCGCACGACCCCCGGAGAGGGCGGTGAAAGGGAGAAATGGTGGAGGGAGGCAGTGGAGGAAAGGAAGGGAAAAAAGGGGAAAAAAGAGGGGAAAAGGGGAAAAAGAGGGGAAAAAAGGGGAAAATGGGGACGGAGAAAGGAGAAGGGGAAAAAAGGAGGGAAAAAAGGGGAAAAAAGAGGGGAAAAGGGGAAAAAGAGGGGAAAAAAGGGGAAAATGGGGACGGAGAAAGGAGAAGGGGAAAAAAGGAGGGAAAAAAGGGGGAAAATGAGGGGGAAAAGGGGAAAAGGAGGAAGAGAGGGAAGGAAAGAAAAAGAGGGGAAAAAGGGGAAAACGGGGACGGAAAAGAGCAGAAAACAAAATAAAAAGAAAGCGAAAAGGGGGAAAAATGAGGGGAAAAAAAAAAAAAAAAAAAGGGGGAAAAAAGGGGGAAAAAAAAAAAAAAAAAAAGGGGGAAAAAAGGGGGAAAAAAAAAAAAAAAAAAAGGGGGAAAAAAGGGGGAAAAAGGAGGGGGAAAAGGGGAAAAGGAGGAAGAGAGGGAAGGAAAGAAAAAGAGGGGAAAAAGGGGAAAACGGGGACGGAAAAGAGCAGAAAACAAAATAAAAAGAAAGCGAAAAGGGGGAAAAATGGGGGAAAAAAAAAAAAAAAAAAAAAAAAAAAAAAGGAAGGCGCGGGTTCGGCCGGGATCACCCGGTTCCTTTCCCAAAGTTGGGGAGGGGGTCAGGCCAAAGAGGGGGGGTCGGGACCCCCGGGAGGGGTCAGCGTTACCCTGGGGAGGGGCGAGCGGAGCTGCGCGGCCTCGGGCAGGTCGGGGACCAGCGGCACCAGGAGGCGATTGGGGAGCACCAGGTAGGAGGAGATGGTGTCCATGATCATCGTGTCCGACATGGAGCTGGGGAAGGGCGGGGGGCGCTCAGAGAGACCCCCCCGGGATCGGGGGGGGGTCCCCAAATAAAGGGGAGGGGGTTACCTGAGGCCGGGGATGTCCAGCAGGTTGGTCATTCCTGTCCAGTTGATGTCCAGGGTCTGCGGTGGGGTCAGAGTAAGGGAGGGGGGAGACCCCCGGTGTGTTCTGGAGGGGGGGTCTGGGGGCTTTTT